CCACGTAGTTCATGGCTAAAATTATTACTCTAAATGTATTAGAGTTTCCATGTGTTTTAACTTGATATGTTTTTATTAATTGATCTACTCAATAGAACTTGGAAATTGGTAATTTGAATATTTAAAAATGTAATGTGATATGACACATTGTTTAGCTTTAGTATTCTTTTCATTTTCTGCCTTTTCCCTAATGAGTAATAGTTATCTTTAATAGGGTACCGGGTACCTTGTTATTTAAACTATTTGGGAGTCAAATAAATTCAATTAATATGCTAATTCAGGCTGTTTATTATTTGTCATTAAAAATAGATTAATAAAATATATATTATTCTTTCCCTTGGAGACTCGAAACAAAAAAGAACACCCAATGGTACCAAGCTAACTCTTATATTGACAAGGATGCTTCTTGGAAATGTGTTTCTTTGTGATGAAAATCATAAATCTGTACAAGGCAAAGGTAAAAGCAGTGCATAGAGTAATATCAAAGTAATATAGACTTCATAATGACCATTGTATTTTATTCACGGAAAGACTAAAATTGGATAATCGTGTTCAAAAACATTTCAACTTTTTGAAGATTGTACAAATTAATAGAAATAAAAAATGTAGGTCTATTTATTTAGGAAAATGTTTCATTGTTTGGAAATTAAATCCAAATTATTGCTCCCAAGACTTCCTGTGAAAAATTTAAAACAAAACAGAAAGAAATCAAGAAAACACTGCCTTGACTATTTAAATTGCATCCTTCTTACAAATAAATGAATTTAAACATTTTACAGATACTATTTTATGTACAATGCTAGTTCAGAAATCCTCATATACATCTTGATCACAGTCTCCCAATATTACAAATCAAATATTTATAATTTAAAAATCCAAATTGTTAAAAAAAAAAAATTTTCTCATTACACAGGAAGCAAGAAATTGTCTCGCCCTCCTTGTATGTCATGTTCAGAAGATGTATGCAAATGTAGAGACCAAACTTTGTTTGATTCTGTGATGGGAGATGGCAGATGGCTCTTTAGAGAGTTTGTTGTCTACGAGAGTTCTCAATGTTATCCTGAGTATGTGATAACTTATACCAGAGTCTGATGTACTTATGCTCTAGAAAGTCTCATGCTGTCTAAAACATAGCTTATCACTGTTATTTAATTGTTTAAAAACAAAATGAGATGTAATTTAAAATACAAATAATTTGGTAATTTATTTTTAGAAGGGAATCTATTTGTGGAGGAAAGCATGTGTTGTGAACCTGACTACATATAATACATTATGTAGTCAGCTTTCAGTACTATAATTAAAAATTTGCTTTTAATCAATTTTATTTTCCAACATTATTGTGGAGCAGTTACCCAGCAAGAAAACATATTTGAAGGCTTCCCAATAAAAAGTGTGAGCGACAATGTGCATAACAAAATGTTTTAATCTGTAAAGTTGTTTTTTTGGGTGGGGTTGGTGTAGATCAGTCATTCTCAACCTTCCTAATCCCGCCACCCCTTTAATACAGTTCCTTGTGTTGTGGGGACCCCCAACTACAAAATTATTTTCATTCCTACTTCATAACTGTAGAGTATATGTGTTTTCTGATGGTCTTAGGCGACCCACTAGTTGAGAACTGCTAGCGGAGATGATTAAGGCTATGGTCTTGGTATGTTTTTTTTTTAAATTTAAGAAACAATAGATTGTCACCAAATAGTAAATAATGGGATTATTATTGTTATTTTACTTGTGTACAAAAGTCATTTGTGTTTGACAAAATCATCTTCAAAAAAATATTTTTTTATCATCATCCATAAAATTTCACTTTACTATTTGGTTGACCACATTTTGACAAATTCCATTGAAGAATAGAATGATAGGACTATGCCAGTTTTAGTCTAGCAATTTCAATGTCAATATTTAATTAACTATTCTAGTTTAATTTTTTTAAAGTTGTGGAAATATGGAGATGATAAAAATGTAGAATTAATTTATCTTTGTATACAGTAACTCAATTGAATTTGATGAAACATTTATGTAAATTCAATTTTGCTGTCAGGCATGGACAAATATATATTTTAAAAAAATATTAAGAAACCTCAACAAACTTTTTGTTCCTGTGTGGGGAGATGATGGAGATAAAGACATATTCTCTAATTAACTTCTAGTAATAAGTAGCAATGATAAAATCTTTTTCAGCTGGAACAGAAACATTGAATATATTATGCTTGCTAGCAGTACCTACAGTGTTAAAAAACAACATTTTATACAATTATTTTATGAGATAAATTAAACATGGTGCAAATGAATAACTGAAAAAAGAAATGCTTATAAAAAATTGTATGCATTGTTTGAGACTCTTTTTATTGAGAAAATGATATGGGAGATGATTTCATCACTCACAACAAAGTCAAAGGAAAAAAGAATTGTAGAGGCCTGAGTCTAAAAATGGAATAACAAAGAAAACACACACGACCTCTTTTGGTAGTTTTTTTAAGGTACTTAATATCCATTATTATCAGAATCAGCTTCTCTTTTCAAATATTTTTAACTAGTCTTAACCACACAAAAGTCACAAAACAGTGCTATGGACTCTTTGACAATGAAATAACTACCTCATCTCTCCAAATATACAACCAACACATTTCATTCAATAGTTTATTTTCCTAATGATATGAAGCCATGTAAGTTTTGTATCAGTGATCATGAATAAAGCAATTTAAAAAAAACAACATTACCCTGCTATTAATTATTTCATTATGGATGTTTATGTCGGTGGGCGGGAGGGGTGTAGTTCTTGATCTGATCCTTTTTTTCCTTCAGTGATGCAAGGTAAAAAGGTTCAGTTAAAGAATTGTCATAACATAACATGTCTAAAGTATTAAATTCAATAACAAGAACGCTATTTTGTCTCTTTTTAAATGACCAAGTTTTTAGCCGTGTTCCACAGTCTGATGATTTTGTTTCCATCCAATTCAAAATGAAATATTTTGACTTTATTTGAGCAACTTCAAGTTCATTTATTTAGACTTTTGAAAATTTGATAATACACCAAACATAATGCATTAAAATTTGTTGTTTAAATGGATACACTATCATTGGTCTCTTGTGACACTGGGATGTGGACATGGACCACAATTACAATCTCTGGGAACCTAGGGAAATTTGGCTCAGAAATTTCGAAGAGCACAAACTTTAAAAATCCCATATTGCATAAAAACATGTCAAGACTATTACAATTTTTTTTTACAAATGGTAATGATTTTTTTAATAAATTTTTTTTAATATATTTTTTTTTATGACATTTGAGTTTGAGAAAACAAAAGGAAGTTTTGAAATAACTTATAATTATAGGAAATATTGACAGATAGATATAAATACAACAAAATATGTCACTAATTCCATAAGAGAATATATTAAAATATGAATATGTGTGGTATCATCATTTTTTTTATGGGAGGTTGAACTAGCTTATCTAGGTCCAATCACATTTTTGCAATGATAAAAAAAAAGTGTGAATGGACATTTGATCACATATAATTTACACGATGATTGTATGAAATTTATCTGGCGTTCCTATCACTGAGAGACAAATGGACACAAACAAATCTGTCATGTAAAACTTTTTCTTTTCAGAATTGACTTTTAATTAAATTTATAAATTTTAGTTTTAGGTCGTCATATTTGGATTGTGTAATAGACTTACTGGCTGTACAGGAATAGGCCTTAAATAACTTATACTATACTTTATTAACTTTTGTAATTTCATGTTCACTTGTTGAAGTCAGTTGCTTTAATACCCAAACCAAGGATTGTGTGAAATTGTTAATTTTTTTAATGGGATATTTCTTGAAGAAGAGAGTTTGGTTTTTAAAACTCATTTTTAATTACTTTACATACAAAATCTCAAGTTTATTAAAAATATAAACAAACATGTATTTGGCATTCTTACTTTGGTAACTTTTCTCAGAAATGTAAAAACAAGATCAGGAGTTCATATTTTTGATGATCATATCGTTTTTATATCAATATTAAGTCAATATTGTTCATATGCCTGTTAGTTTCATAATAAAATGTTTAAATTTCCTACAACATAATGTAAAGATTAACTTTCTATATTTTTAGCTTGAAACTTTAATTTTTGTTTTAACAACTTGGTTGGTATAGGTTACTTTTCTTTTAAAAAATTGAGTTTATATTAACTTATATGACAATAAACTTTTATTGCAAATCAAAGTAGCAATCCTACTATAGTATTGAATGTTCACTTATTCCACTATGTGTTTGAAGACAGGATTTTATAGATTGAACTTAATGCTTAATGAAATAGGCCTTTCAGACCGTGGTCAAACCAGTGATGACATCCCAAATCTCCAGGAACAGGTTCTATAATGGCAGGTTATCTCGACAAACCAGGGGTTTGACCTTGAATTAAATAATGTTTTGATAATGCAACAAACAGTTGCTAAGCTTTTCTATTTATCTATCGATTTGCTTGGATGCCACAAAAAAATGGCTTCCTACCGTCTTCGCCAGACGATGGAGTAGCTATATACACTTCAACAAATGGCTGACTAGGCCGAGCCCGGAATTGTAATTTCGGCTGCATTTCTTGTAGGAGAATCTTGAACTGTGGTTAGATTTTTCCTACCGTATTGTTCTTTTTTTAATTTTTTTGTGTTTTTGTTGAAATGTTAATGATTGCCTGATTTAGCCAATTATTGACAACAACGTATAGTGTATAGTCTTAGCATAGATTTCCGAAGAAATGTTGTACAACTTGACTTTACTACTATTACTAGTACTAGTAGACTTTGCCTAGACTTTACTAACTTAACTAGTACTAGTACTCCGGGTGTCCGAGTACTGTCTTTCACTTTCAGTAAACAATCATTATTAATTCAATATGAAATAATTAATTTATATAATCATAATAATTTAATAATTATAATGTGAAGAATAATTTAAATAATGAATTAGTAGGCCTACAGTTTAGTATCAGTATAGACTATAATAATTAAATTTTTATATACTATACTATAGTATATAAAAATTTAAGAATGAATAACAATAAATGAAATTATTGAAATACTTAAATGAATATGTAATGAAATATGTGAATGTGTTTTGATCATTAATTTTAAATTAAAGTTTAAAGTTTGTCATTGTTGATTCAAGTTCAATGATTGTTTATAAATTATTTAACAAAACATTTGGATAAAACTCAAATGGAAAAATGTTTCACTTATTATTTATAATAATAATAACTTATTGAATTGACAATTTTGACTTTAAATATAATACTAGTTCTAGTGATTGATTTTATCTCAGCTGGGGATGCACGCTGGTAATTTCAGATAAAGATTAGGGAACAAAATGTTATTCTTTTTTTGGATACAATAAAATTCTTTTCTTGATCCAAATTATGAAATTTTCTTTATGACATTGTACATTGTTATTTAATAGATTTTCTCCCATTTTTTGTTAGGGTCCCAGTTTCACTTTTGTATGTTACAACTGGTATGATTACAATTTAAAATACTAAAAGTTTTCTTTGTTTTTACTTTTGAGTATTTTATCACTACTGAAGTATGCCATGTTCCGGCTGATATTCTTTCTTTCATTTTTTTTAGTAATTCATTTCTTTCATTTAATTAAGATCCTAGGTATTTGAAATGATTTACTTCTTCAAAAATGTGGTTTCTAATTTTGAGGGTTTCATCTGTCTGTTCTTCTTTTATCCTAGTATTCATAGTCATATATTTTGTTTTTTGGTTAACTTTCAACCCTGCTTGTATTGATGCCTCTTCTAATTCAATAAAAGCTTTTGATATGCCTTTACTACTTGTCCCTAGCAGTGCTATGTCATCAGAATATGAAAGATACTGAAAGGGTTGATTGTAAAGAGTGCCTGTTGGTTGTGGGTCTTGGGTTTCCCTCAGAAAGTATCCTTTTATTGCTCCTCAGGTGAATGCTTCTTACAACTCTCTCTAATGTTAGGTTAAATAGCTAATAAAAGTCAGTGAGTCTCCTTGTCTTAGGCCTCGTCTAATCTGAAATTCCCTTGAATATTCTGCCTGAACCTTGATTTTGCTTTTTGAGTTGTTTAATGTTGCATTTATTAGTCTTGTCAGTTTGTTCGGTACGCCAAACTCTTGCAGAGTCTCATGTAGATATTTTCTTTGATGCTGTCATAGGCCATTTTATAGTCCACATAGAGTTGATGTACTGAGATATTGTGTTAGTAACATTTCTCTAATATAGGCATCTGAGGGTTAAAATCTGATAAGTCATTAATCTGTTTTGTCTGAATCCACAATGGTTGTCACCTAGTATTTTTTCAGTGTATGGTTTTTAGCCTTTTGGCAATTAGTTTTTTCAGTATTTTGAATGTAACTTTTAATAAGGAAATTGGAACCTTTCTTATATATTGGAGTAACTAATGCTATTTCCCATTCTGTTCGATATTTATCTACTTGCCAAATTTTTAATTTCTGCTGTAATGGGGTCTTCTACAGGAGCTTTGCGTTTTTTTCATAGAATAGATTAATTCTGTAGTTTTATCCAAAGTTGGAGATTTTATTCAAGTGTCTGGTACTCCATGTGGTGGTTGATAATCTTCATCTTGTCCATTGTCTGCCTTTAGTATGCCCTCAAAATATTCAGCCCACCTCTCCATTAATTTACTATTTACTATTACATAATTAGTTCTCCATCCTGGCTCTCACACATTTGAGGTCTGGTTTGGAGTCCGTTCTTTTCATCTTTTACTTTTATCTTCATGTACATTCTTCTAATATTTCCCTGTCTTGATAAGTCTTATATTTCCATCAGTGTAGCCTTTTCACATCCCACATTTTTTTCTTTCCGAAATATTTTAGTCGCTGTCTTTATGGTTTCATTATATTTTTGTCTTAACTTTCTGGCTTCCCTTTCTATGATGGTCATTCATGCATTGTTCCTTTCTTCGACGTCTTTCACTATCAAACCAGCCTACTTAACTGTTAATTTGCTGGAATCCTATGACTTTTTCTGCTGATCTTTTCATAGCATTTTTTTATTTTATCCCACTGTTCATTTATGTAGTTTGTCCTGTTTATTTTCTCCTGTGATGCTTCTTTCTAATGTAGTTGTGCTTCTACTTCATTTTGGTAATCTTTTGCGGTTAGTGGGTCAAGAATTTAAGTTTTCCATCTAAAATCTAATCAAAATGGGTCATCCGCATTGACTACAAACTACTAAAAATATTTGAAATAACAGAAATTAAAATATAATAATTAGAACATGTGATTTGCAGAATGTAAAAAAAAAAAAGTTGTACCAATGGTTAATTTAAAAAGAAAAAAGCATTTGAAATAGATAAAGACTAATAGACTATACATTTTTGTAATCATATTTCACAATAATATTTGCTAATATTGATTTTTAAAATTTTTTTTTTACATTACTAGCATATACTATCAATAAAACACAATCTTTAAATTTCAGCAGAATTTTCAGGACGTGGCAACAAAGATAATAAATATTTGTTCTCTTAATAACTCTTATCCTTCTTAAATTTTTTATAAAAGCAAGATGAAACAATTCTTTACGTCCCAATTATCCAACTTTATTAATAACATTTAAAATAATATTGGATAAATATTGTTAAATGAATACTTTGAGTAAGAAAGAATTTTAATGGCATCATTTTGGAGACAAAAGCTTTCGGACAAATATAATGAGTTATATGATGTTGAAGACACTTTACACATTCAAAACATTGAACATTTTGACACAACAGATGAACAAAATGGACAACATGTCTCTAAACGGGTGACGTGCCATAAATGTGTTACTGGAGAAGGAGTGAGGATCACTGGGCAATTTGAATTTGAGAAAAGAATATTCGAGCTAGAAGAACAGCTGGAAAATTTGAAAGAAGAAAATAAAATTTTGAAAAATAAATTAAAACAATTTCAAATGAGGCAAATTAATATACAACCTAGTAGAGAAACTGATGAGTCTTACTGGAGGTTCACTGAATTAACAGATTTAGGGCCATTCAGACAAAGTACACAAAAAATAGGGCAAAATAATGTTCTTTTTCAACAAAAGCTAGAAGAGAGATTTATGGAGCTGGAGAAAAGGTTAGATAAGATTGAGAATAGAGAATCACATTATTCTGAACAAGAAGAAAATTTAGAATTTGAAAAGTGCTTCAATGTGGGAGAGCCAGAGTCCAGATTTTTGCATTTATGTTGTGAAAACAGAATCAAATCTATTTTAGAATCAGTTGATGTAACTGAATTAATTTTAACCGAAACTAAAGTTTCCATTAGATATAAAGGTAGTAAGAGTGAAACACTCCAAGTTTTGCGCAACTTACAAGATCTTAAAAACAATGTATTATCAAAAACTTGGAATTTATTTGATGATTTCAAGAAACATGAAATTTTTTTGATAGCCAATAGTTTAAAAATTGGACAAATGAAGGAAAAATTAGAAACTTACAAATGTAAGGAGAAAACTCTTGTTATTCCAACATTTTCTGATTTAACTCCTCAACATCATTCAGCATTAAAAATACAAAAAATAAGAGATATGCCAAAGTACTCGTCCCCATTTAAACTACCTGCTCACGCTGCGGCTAAAGATGTTTCTGAGGATGAAAGTGATAGCAGTGAAAGTTCGGAAGATACATTTGAATTAAGTTATATGATTGACACGAAATATGGAAGTCATCTTCATTTCACTATAATAACTCTTCATGGAAATAAAACGTTTGAGGCTATGAAAAAAATAATAACACTTGATATAAGAGAACAATGTCTACATGTTGATTACTTTAACCAAAAAATCATGAAGCATTGGCCTAGAGAATCGAGGCAAAAAATTCTAAAAGAAGCAATGAAGTTATCAGTGTGGGCTGAACGATCAATTCATCCTAAAACCAAGCATGTGGGATTTCGGTTAATAGGAGAAAAGCCAGCTATTGCTCAGATCAAAGCATTTATTCATCAGGAATTTCTTGAAGAATCTAGCCATTTACCAAAGAGAAGTTTAACTTCAGATAATGTTCCTAGAAGAGGAACTGTTGATTTCATGAGGTATGCTGCAGACAGTGATGAGCTTTTCCCCTCGTACTGGAGTCTAAATAAGTCTAAAAAGTTTTGGAGTAATTTACAAAATAAAATTTCTGGAAAGTCGAAAAAACTTTTAGTTGAAGTGGATAAAGAAACGAAGGATGCAATTACAAAGCTCGTTACTCAAACATTGGATATAGGTCTTGTTGGGCAGGGTAATGATGCAGCTGGAATAAATTATTCCAGTCTTAAAGTTCTTGATGTTAAAATAGTTGAAAACGCTGAAATGTTTGAACTGTATCGAGTTCAAAGAAAAAGGCTATTTGATAAAATGGTTAGGAAAGGAAAAATCTGCCAAGATATTGGAAAACTTAGAGGCTCAAAAGGACGAGTGTGTACAACAGAGCTACTAAGTGATTCAATGAAAAAAGAACTTTACTATGAAGTGAACGAGCATTATTTGTTCCATGGTACAAAATCTGATACAATAGAAGCCCTTATT